AAGTAGCTTGCCTAGGTCAAACAACCAGAAAGTGGTGGAGCTGCAATCTGAGATTTGATATGTCTGACTGTATGGTCCACATTCTTAGCCACTATTCTCTACTGCTATAAAATTAAGTTAAATATATTTATAAGTTTCTATTGATGCTATGACTTACTTCCCTCATTAGATGGTAAAGACCTTCCCATGTCTCTTTAGTGGTTGAGGTTAAGGGGCTGCAGCTACACTGGCAAAGAAAGGAGTAAGTTAAGTTCATGTGGAGCACTGGACTATCTCTCTGGTTCTGTTTCCCAAAGAATACTGTTGCTAACATGGTTTTAAAAACACTGTATGATTAGGCATTAATAATAGGCTTTCTGGTAATTTGGACTGTGATTCCAAGGAAGCAGGGACCACAAGCAAGTCCCAGCTCTCTAAAGCTAATCCAGACAAGTACTATTATGCTATTAGTCAATTCCTTTAACTACAGCAAATGCCACAGTAAAAAATATGAAGTTTGGGAGTAACGACATCTAACAAGCAAGATTTAGAGATGGCTTGGCATGTACAAGAGGCCTCCATTTAGCATTTCCTTTGAAAGTGGGGGGAGTGGCCAGGACACTAAAGTTAAAAATGTAGGACAAATTAGATTGCAAACTCTTGGGTCCAAACTAAACACAGCTAGTGACACCTGCAGGTCAATGTACAAACTGCAGTGATAGAACTGTGCACCTGGGGTAACTAATTTCTACCTCCCTGTCTCCTAGCTGTTAGCCTGGCTCCCAAGTCCACCATCCTCCAGCCATAGCATCAAAGCCTGGAAGACAGAACAACTCACTTCTACCAGATGGTTGTCTGGTCCATACAGGTCTTTGTCCAATTCAATCACCAAGGACTTAAAAAAGGAAGAGAATTTCCTCTTTTGTTTGGTGGCATCATATTTGGACAAGGCTGACTAAAAAGAGAGAGGAAAGGTAATGTTAGAAAAGGTCAGGAAAAAAATCCCCAAAATAAAACTCCTATAAAAAAGGAATGCACAACAGCAATGGGCAAAAAACTCAAAAATGTCTTCTGATTATCTCTTAGGAGATAGCAAGGCAGGCATCTGTGGGCATTAAACCAGTTATAGTAGCAACAGAACACTGAAGCAGCAGCCTATAACACAGACAGGGTCACTGACTTATCAGTTCATTTCCCTGAGGGAAATGAAGCAAGTTAAGCCAAACCACTGCACATAACAAAGCAAGTTTTAACGGAGAAAAGTCTGACTGTAGAGGGGAAATGAATCACAGGCAATAAGCAGCCAGAACAAAAACAGCTTTATTTGAACAGAATGACATGGCCAGCAGATGGACTGGACCTATACAGAGAAGAAGGAGGCTCTGACACTGAGCTCTCATTCTGCAAAAATGCATTCAAATTAGCCTGCCTGCGAGCAGCTAAAAATAGAGAGCCAAGCAGTGTAAGGAAATAAAGAGAAAGGTGAGCTTCCCCAAGGAGCTCCTTGGGTGGGAAATCTGGGGGCTATCACCTGTCAGCTGATGCTCCCTATATAACAAAGAGCCTGTTGGAGAAATCTATGCCCCTTAAATTGTGAGGTATCTCCAAAAAGCTAGGAAGATGGAGATACCACAAGGAGAATCAAGGACCTCAAGGACTCGAGAGGAAACATGGCCTCAAATGCTAAATGCAAACTCACTTGACTTAAAAAAACAAAAACCCTAACTTAATAATTTGCAGATACTGCTAATTATGGTAAACAGCACAAGGAAAGTAAACAACAAATCAGATCCCAGGACAATAAGATTTTCTATATGATACCAAGAGGGCTAAAGCTGTGGAAGCAGATACAAAGGACTACTGTCTTTCTGTGCAGAGAACAGAGTGTCCCTCTCCCTGCGGCTCCCAGCTGAGTACCAGTCAGGTTTCCTGCTAACCAGGCAACCCTGCTCGTTCCCAGCAACTCCCACCCTACACGTCACCACAGTGGACCTTGAACTCACATCCTCCAGGAGCCGTCCTTCTACCCGAAGCTCCCAGGATGCCACCGTCCCTTCCCCATCCTCGGCATCGGATTTAGCCGGATTGAAAGTGTTAGAAATGAAAATTCGCAGCTTCCGTTTTTGCTGAGGAAGGCAGAAACAGGATTGATGGTGGGGCTTCAGTGGTTTGATGCTGAAGACTAGGGCTTCCCCAAACCCCAAAATTACTGCTAACAGACTGGCTTACTGCCTGCCCAGTCCCTCTGGTGGGTGGGAAGAAAATTTAATTTAGAAGAGGAGTACAGGCCACTGGCCTGAGTACAAGTGCATACACCGGGATGCCAGGTGGACAGTCATGCAAGGTGCCAGGTTCCCAAGGTAGCAGAGCAGTTACAGCAAAAACATAGACAGGGTATATTTTTAGTGCAAGAGACATCAAAAGCCCCTCCCCCTTTGCTGTTCTGTTCTTGGGCTCCTAATGTAATTCTCAGTTCGTAGGCGGAAGGGAGAGATGCAATTTAAATGCCAAGGAGAACTGTGCTGTGCCTTTGATTTATCCTAAGCCCAGTGAAGGTTCCCAAGCCCGCTCCTTTGGCTCTCTGCCTAGTGCTTTCCTGTGTTACCTTGATGGGTCGTTTCAAGGCCTCTTGGATATCTAGACGTTTCCTCATGATAGTCTGGTCCAGTTTCCTTTCAAAAGCCAAGAGGTCCATATAGGCCTGGGATTCTGGTACCAGTTCACGAATCTTAGGAGCAGAAAGATAGAGTTGGAATCTAGAGTGGGCCACTTCTATTCTCAAACTCACCATGCCTTCAAGAAGACCTACAGCCTGGACTCACCCTTTGAGGTAGAATTTTGTCAGCCATCTTCTTTTTCTTTGCACTGTTCAAAATAAATACTGTTATCAGGTTGGGATAGAACTAGTCAGAACATGAAGATAAGCTGTCAGCACTTCCATTTATAGTAAAGTGGGGGCCTGTAACGCTTCTATCAAAGCAAACTCCCTCCCCAGTCACTACCATCAACACCACCACCACCACCAGGCATTCTCAAGGATGAGTCCCCATAGTACCATCTGCTAACACAGCACCAGCACTCTGGTTCAGGTGCTCCCACCAGCTGTGTCCTCACAGGCTTCCCTTCCCCCTCTCTCTTCCCTGTGCCCCCAGGTCATCTTACTTGTGGTTTCGATTTTGGACCGCCTGCTGCTGGACCTGCTGGATCTGCTGAGGCGCAGGTCTCTTGCGGGACTGGTCCATCCCTGACTGGGCCAGGCCAGGTCGGACTGAAGGGTTCCCCCCATAGCCAGGAGGTCCCATGGAAGGTCCCTGAGGTGTCATTCGGCTGCCTGGCAGCATACCTGGTCTCTACAGAGGGGAGAGGACCCAGAGATGTCACAGCTTCCCTTGCTAACTCCACCAAGAAAGGGAAAGGGAAGAGGGACACCCGAGTCCTTTGAATGAAACAAGACTGGAGAAGGTGGGGTGGAGGACAGTGAGAGGCGAGCTCTCTGTCTCTCTGAAATATAGGTAACTGGAGCTTCCTCTGCTCCAGTCTTGGTTCCCTCGAAAACTAGGGCCCCAAAGCTAAGAGACAACCCAATTATACTCAAATTCTCCCCAGTCTATGCTAGGTCTGATTCCCTGGACATCTCCTCTAGCCCCACATTCACTCTGCTGGCTATCTCCTCAGAAGCTGACCTCAACTGCAGCTACACCTTATGTTTTCTGTGAAGACTGGAACTACCAAGCCCCACTTCATCCACCCGGGGTCTATCACCGACTCTCGTGGAAACAATGCCTCTGGAAGCAGGTAGGGATGCTACCTGCCTCTCCCTCTCTTCCTCAGAACGGCCTCCCCACGCCCCGCGCTGAACCCGAACCCCTCCCAGGGGAGTCCCTCCCACTTCTCTCCCGCCCCTGTCACAACCAGGCCCCCACTCGGCCCCGCCCCCAGCCCGCGCGCCCCTCCTCCTGCCTCACTCACCGGATAGGCCGCTCCGGGCATAGGGGAGCGGTACAGCCCTTGACCCGGCGCCGGGCCCATTCTCACAGGAGGTCCGGGAGTTCCGCCTGGGCCCAGGGCAGTTGCCGCGCCCGCCCCTCCTGAGGCTCCGGCGCCGCCGCTCGGGGCCACGGACTGGAAACCCGCCCGGGCCGCCATCTTCCCGGAGCCGCCGCTGCAGCTGCACAAAGAACCGGAACCGGAACTCCCCCCGCCCCCTGTACGCCCCCCAAGCGCCGGCCTGTTTGTGCGCTCGGCCAGCTCGGGATGCTCAGGGCAGCGAGACTGTGGGCTAGAGGGGGCAACTAGCGGAAAAGGCGTGCTGACCACTCCCTCCCGCCTTGGCGGTCCTGGAGAGAAAACCATAGAGATGAGCTGTGGGCTAGAGAGGCCCCGTGAGCGGCGCCCCCAAGTCGGCCGGAGGACGACAAGGCGCTAGAAAACGACCAAAGCCCTGGTTCCAACCCCAACCCTGATGAAGAGAAAGCCCTGCGCATTTAACTTTATAAAGCGCTCTGATTGCTTTTCGTTTCATTCTCTTACTGCGGTAACTCCAGGTGGTTGAAGAAGGGAACACACTATTCCATTTTGGAGTGGGAAAACTGAATTCAGGAAGCAAATGACTTGGCAAAGGTGAAGCAGCAGTAAAGCCAAGTCCTAGATCAGAGGTGTCCTGGATAGCAGCCCAGTGCTTCAGTAACTACCTTCCACAAGAGGAACTTCAATCCAACTTTAACCGGCTTTCAGATTTTAAGTTCCAGTTTATCTTGAATTTTGACCCCTCCTCTCAAATAATTCTTTGTGGTGGGATTTATATTTGGGGATTTTGTTTCCCTTGACTCCCTCCCTCTTTCCCTCCCCAGTGATCCAAACCATCCCTGATGTGATGATCAGCTTGTCCCATCCCAGAAGGACAAGTGTCTCCCTGCTCAAACCTTTTTACTCCTCGTTTGAATCCCAAGCCAAGCTCAGCTCTAAGCATCTCTGGGAATACCTAAATACTATTCAAATAAAAAGAACAACACTGAAGAAGAGATGGTTGGAACCCAGTTTATTAGACCAGAGGCATGCGTCACCCAGAGAGAGCCCTGCCTGCTGTTCCCTCAACCAGCACACACTTCTTGGCCTTGCTCCTGCTTCCCTCTGGGGAGGACTGATTTCTGAGGAACCAACAGTTCCCAAAGATCCTATAGCCTTACTCTCCACTTCAGGCCAACACACAGACCTGCCCATGGGTCCTGTTCTGGAATTGGAGACCAAAAGACAGGTGGGCAGAGAAGGCCTGGAAAGGAGTTGGGGCTCTGGCCTGGGAGGAGTGCCTGGTGGAGGGCGTGGGGCAGGCCCTCTACCTCACATTTCTTTTTAAGGTAGGGAAGCCTAGAACAGCAGAGCTTTCCACTCCTCCTCTAGGCCTGCTCTTTCCTCCCATGACCAAACCGTGCCTCACCAGAAAATATAAGTGGTGGGCTTGGGCATCAGGTGAGGAAGGGGGCTGGGCACCCAGAAAGGCCACTGATTTGAGGACCTCAGCATCTGCCTGTGGGCACCCGCTGCCCCAGCTGCATAAGTCACCAATCCCCAGGTCCCTCTGTCTCTGACATTCTTGACTTAGTGTCCAGCACAGCTCTCTGCTCCCTGGGTAGGGATACCTGTGTAGCAAACCCTTCCCTAGGGAGGCCACAGTCAGCCAGGCAAAGGGCCTTGGGATAGGAGGAGCAGGGGAAGGGAATGTTAAGGCTGCAGGGATGGCAGAAGGTGCCTGGGTTGGGGGAAGAGGGTGAGGCCAGAAAGAGGCAGAGCTTGTGATTCACAGCTTCCTTTATGTCGCCACCGAGACAGTGCGAAGGTTACAATGCGCGTGTCGTCTCCTTGTGCTTCTCAGAGGGATGTGTGTACACAGTACAGACACCAGGGGAGAGAGTCCAATTCTTTATACAGGCGAAGGCATTCAGACAGAGGAGGGGAAGAAACACATAAAGGGAAACTTGGGGTGTGAGGATGGTTCTCAGAGACAAGAGGGGATGGGGTGGAGACAGACAGGGCCAGAGGAAAGTATATACAGAGATAATAGCAATATAGAGTCTGTATCATAGAGAAATAGAAAATGCAGATGAGGTTGTTGAAAGAAGCAGATGAAGTCGGGGCAGAGGACTTGGGAGAGTTCCATAAGAAAATTTATGGATGTGGCCCTTGCAGAGGGCCCTCTAGGGGAGGAGCCAGTGAGGTCAGGCACCAGTGCCCCTCACCCTGAGCTGGAGCTAACCAGCCAGGTTTTTCTCGGGATGTAGAGAAGGGCTGCTTCTTGAGATTTCTCTCCAGGATCTGGAGTGGGGTGAATTTGTAGGTATCAGGATGTGGCCTACAGCACCAGGGCCATATCTTGTCCCCATTTCCACTTCTTCAGGGCACTCCCCACCCCCTAGAAATTCCACATGGTGTGAAAGAGTAGGATGGGGTTTTAGTTCCTGCCTGGAGATTTGGGATTGGGGGGAGTCACTGGCTGAGAGGGTCTCTTAAGGCTGACCCCCCACTAGCCCTACCCCTTAAAATACATTCTCTGGTTTGGGGCCAATTCCAGACCCCAAGGATTCCCTCCACCCCTCACTGGGAGGGGGCTTTGGTGACTGGTGGCAGCAGAATGTAGGTGGACACTCAGATAACTGACAGCCAGACAGACACAATTCAGGCTGGGAGCTAGGGGAAGCAGCATGGAGCAGAGAGGGACAGCCTGAGATCCCTTGCCCCGTTCTCTTGTTCAGATTAGCTTAGTTTTGTTAAAATAAAAAGAATGGGATAGAGGCAGGGAGAGGACTCTGTGGTCAAGACTCCTTCCTCACCACAGACAAGAGGAAAGGACTGCCCAGAAGTGCAGGTGAGTCCCCAGGGCTGATGTAGGGGGTACCTGGGGGCCCCTTGCTCTCCTCGCCCTCCCCAACTAGGCCTTTGGTACAGTGGCCTTCGGGGCTCAGCAGGTAAAGTCCTCAAACGTGCCTCGGGCCGGATGGTGAGGTAGGATGTTGGCAGCGTACGTCATCCCGGCAGGATGGCCCCGGAGGCTCTCGCACGGGTTCTAGGAGAAGCGCACAGGACAGAGACTGGTTAGAGGAAGGGCGGCGGGCCACACTGGGGCGCTGGGGAGGCAGAGCAGAGAAGGTGGCTCGAGGGGGAGAGGGGCGGGCCGAAGGGGGGAGGGGCGGGCCGGAGGCAGGCCCCCTCCCCGGCTCGCTAGCGCCCTCACGTGTCTTTTGACGTCGTCCAGGCTAAGTGCCACACCCTTGTCCGCGCTGCTCCTCTTGGCCTCCTTCTGGCACTTCCCGCGTCGGCACAGCTTGTGCTTAATCACCTGGAGGGGCGGGGGGCGGGGCGTGTGGGTGGCTGGAGTCCCGCCCCTGCCCCGCCCCCGCCCCCACCCCTTACCTCGTAGGCGTAGTCAAAGAGCTCCAGCACGGTGAGGATGCTGGCCCCAATAAACAGCCCCATCTGGCCCCCGATGTCACCTGTGGGCGTGGGGGATAGGGAGGTCAGTGGGGTCGAGAACACCGTGGGAGCAGCAGGGTTCAGTGGGATTGGGACAGCCTAGCCATAATCGCAAAGGGATTGGCAGCCTTCATACACAAGGGTTGCAAAGCCAGATTCTAGTAGGATTTTTCTTTTCTTTATGCTTTTCTGCATTTTTCTACTTTTCTAAAGTGAACAAGTTTTACTGGGGGGGGCGGGGAGAATTGTTTATAAAAGTCCCGAACACTCAGCGTCTGGGCCAACTTCAGGTGTATGTGAAAGACTCCTCCCTCTCCCCTCCCTCTCCCCTCCCTCTCCCCTCCCTCTCCTCCCCCTCTACTTACACCTCCGTCTCCACCCCCACCCTTCCTTTCCGTTTGGCCCTAAAGGAGGTCTCACCCTCTTCCCCCCTACGTACCAAGACAACGGGGTTTGGGGAAACGCCCCTGGGGACAGGACTGGGAGAGCACCCTGCTTTGAGTAGTAGGGAGACACACACACCATGCCCAAGGCATGGAAAGGGGACAGGTGCCAACAACAGCTCACCCAGGAGCCCTGCAATCTCATAGGCTTTCTTCTGCTCAATGGTCTCATAGTTGAGGACTTCAAAGAAAATATCCAGCACCAGGATGTTCTCCCTGCACAGGGGTTGGGGAAGGAGACCTAGGTTCAAGTCATATCTCTGCCCCTTATTAGCCAGGTGACCTCAGCAAGTTAGCCTCTCTGAGCCTGTTTCCATAGCCATGAAATGAGATGCTGATGGAGATACCTGCGTTTTAGTTGTGAGGATGAAGTGAAATGGCATATACGAAAAGACACTGCACACTGCCAAGTATGAGGTGGTCCCAGCTACAGCGATAAGGATGAAATGGAGGGAGAAAGGAGTACTTCCACTGCTTATTCTGGCTTGATCCTCCCTCCATGCCCACCCATCCTCTTTGGTTGCCTCTTGGACCTTCTCCAGGTCCTCTCAACTTCTTGCCTGCTGGGACCCCATGAAAGCCCTCTTATGCCCTCCACAGTCCCTGCCTAAAGGCCCTACCCTGCACAGCAGAGCCCTTACCCTATGTACTGCTCAGACTTGTTGAACTTCTTGGCCAGGTACTTGGCTGAGGCTTTGCTGGGGATCTTGACCATGGACAGCTCCTTGCCGTAGCGGGTCAGGTTGCACGGCATTTCACACACACAGTACTCCTGATCCTTCTCCACTAGGAAGTCTGTGCCCAGTGGGTAGAAGGCGCCAGTTGAGTGGTGTCTTTCTGCCAGCACCTTCCCAACACAAACATTCTGGCCCTGCCCAAAGGAAGCCCAGGCCCCCTTTTCTTTTTCCCTACCTCAGCGCCCGGCCCACTCTGCAGGTCCTCACCCAGCCTCCCCGTGGGTATTTTTAAATCTCATATGCATTTTCTCAAGGTCTTCAGGGGACTGCTGAGTGGCTGCTGATGAAAAAGGGCGGAGTCCCCTCCCAGGTGTGCCCCATTCATTGTTCATAGGGTGTCTGGAGATGCTATTCTCAGCCTTGAAGTCAGATACATGTCAGGGCGCAGCCTGCTGCAGGGGTCCCTGGAAGCTTCTGGGAGTGTGAAACGCTTGTGCATGTGGCTGGCAGCAGCTCCTCCCCTCCCCCCAACTGCCCCAGGACAGGGACGCTCACCCAGGGCAGGATCTGCACACTCTTTGTACTGCTCTGGAGTGCAGTACGGGGCGTCCCCTACAGAGGAGAGAAGACAGTTCAGGATGGAGTTTATAAGTGGCGGGAGCTGAGAGAGGGTGGGACAGTAGGACCAGTCCACCCCAGTCTTCCCTGCCTCCCCCCAGCAGCGCACCCTTTCTAGACCCCTCCACGCCCATCCTTGAGGGCACAGGCAGGAACTGGAATCAGAGGGACAAGCAGCAGCAGAAAGGTAAGAATGGGATGGGCCGGAACTGGGCTAGTGGTAAGGAGGTCGAGATGACGGAGACAGGGGAAGGGCAGCGCACGCTGAGGGCCCCAGGACCGTGCTTGCAGCCAGGGGCTGACCTGGCATATGCACCATGCGACAGTTGCAGTTCTCCACCAGGTAACGGGTCTCACAGTCAATGCGGCAGGCGGTGATGCTGTAGGAGTCGAAGAAATCCGAGTCCATGGTAACAGCTTTGCAGGTGCCCCAGGGCGGGGGCAGGTAGATGAGCTGCTGGGAGAGCCGGGAGCTGGGGGAGTGTGGGAACTTCTCCCGAGTCACCTTGATGGGCCACACGGGCCCTCTCTCCCGCCACAGCCTCTGAAGGTCTCAGAGTTCACGGGATATTTCTGTTCACTAAGTCATGCTGTCGATTAGCCCAGTTACCATCCGGACCCTAGCTCACCTGTTCCCCCCGTTACTGATCGCCCATCACTCCATCCTAACCCCTCAACACCCCACCCCAGGACCAGGCTTCCGTGGCCTTCTCACCCGCTGCTCCTGGCAGGCCACAAAGGTCTGGAAGCCTGGGGCCACACCAAAGCCCAGCTGGTCAATGAAAGGAGGTTCATCCTGACTGTGGATCTGCACTTTGATGCCCGCTTCGAAGGACGTCTCATCTATGGGAAAGGGGTTGAGAGGGCTTCTGAGGCTCTAATCTCTTTCAGAGCCGGGAGCAGCTCCCTGGTGGGAAGACTATCTCTGAGGTGCTAGCCTACTCTCAGCCTCCTTCTGGGTTTACCAGCTCCATGCTGCGCCAATGACCTCTGCCTCCTGCACACTTCTTGTCTTACCTGGTGTCTGCTACCCCTCTTAGTATTTCACGTTCTCTCCCCAGAGTGGCACCGCCTCAGACACTGTCCCATTTTTGTGCCTCTTTGCCACCCCTTTCTTCCCCATCTCTCTGCCCCAAGGCCCCATGAGACCAGACAAGCAGGCAGCCCAAGAAAAGAGGGAGTTATTTATAGAGTGAGTGGCGGCTGCTGATGGGAGAGGATGGCTGGTTACCTTGGAGAGTAACTGAGCCACAAAGAAGGAATCAGGGAAATGTGAGTGTGGAAATCAGGTAGAGTCACAAGTGGAGATAGAGCCTGGGAAGAAGGGAAGGAGCCTGAGGCCTCTCTCTGTCCCGCAGTGGAGCCCAGGCATGTCCCTATGGAGGCTGGGGCTGTGGGGTGGGGCCCTGGCGGGAAACAACGTACCAGTCTCCCCCCACACTGGCAGGTACTCGTCCTGCTGGATGTCCAGCATGATCTCCAGCCCATTGCCTGTCCCACCCTTCATAGTCTTCAGCCGTGGCCGCCCATCTCGGCCCGAGTTGAATGTGTAGCACTTTCCATACCGTGTGAAGACCTGGTGGGGGCAGAGTAGAGAGCCTGAGAGTCCTGCCAGCACCCCCTGCCCACTAAGGGCTGTCTGCAGGTCTCCCAGCTGCCAGAATCCCCACTCCCTTGGGAACAGTTCCTCCTGTTCAGTCCATTGTCCATTTGTTCCCCTTTTCTATTCTTCACTGTTCTTTGCCCTGCTGTGTACCCTGGAAAATTGACCTTCGTGGAGCATATGGCCTGAGCTCCTTGCCAGCACAATGGGCTTCTGGTTGGGTTTGGGCAATGGGAACCACAAGTAAGGGATCAGAAGGCAGAAAGAGAGAGTGAGAGAGACACACAGAGAGACAGAGATTGGGGTACTGATCCTTCCCCTACCCTTGGTCTCTCTGCAATGCTGGCAATGGCTTCGACTCTCCCTATGACTCCTGCAAGGAAGGCTCCCTACATGGCACTATTTCCTTTGTGCTCCTTCAGCCTAAAAGTGATAACAGTTTCCCCCTATTGCAAGCTACTTCAGCTCCTCTTATTGGTTTTCTTAATCCTGCCCACAGCTATGTAAACAGTCCCTTTGTTAAAGTCTTTTCAGTTGAACTATCAAGGAGAAATCTTTCTCTTGCCAGGCCCCCCATGTGCACCTCTATCACCAGGATCCTGTCACTGCAAGACCACTGGGCTAGATCTTCTCTTCTCCTGGATCTTGCCTTGGGCCTTAGAAATCCTCCTCCCAGACCTGCCCCCAACCTAAGCCCAGCCATCAGCCCCTTCTGTCCATCATTGTCCCATTATCCCTAGAACCTGAAAGTAGCTCCAGTTGCCATGGCAAGGACTGTGCTCATCCAGGCACCAGAACCTCTTCTCCCAGAACTTGTGACTGGGCACCAATGTGTGGTTGCTGGCAGTGCTTTTTCGGAGCTATGAGTGTCTCCAAAGAAATCTCAGCCCTGGGGCAGCCTCCAGTCTTCTCCCCACTCCACCCCCCACAAAGCCCTTATCACAGCTCCGATCACACAGCTGAGGACAGAAGAGTGAACCAGTTCTCCATGGCTCTTCCCCCACGGGGTCCCCAAACAAATGGGGAAATGGGACGAGTGTGCTTTTACCACTGCTGGGTGGTGGCAAAGTCCACAAAGTGAGTCACAAGGTGAATGAAGAGCCCAGAGAGGAGAAAGACAAGTGTCAAGTCAGACTGGAACAGCAGGGACACTGGGCGTCACTGGGGAATAGTTTTTGCCCTTTTCTCCTTCCTAGTCCAGTCTGCTCTATTCCCCTCTGGAGGAGAAAACATGCTGTTCTCTTTTGTGGGTGAGGTCGGGGAGATGATGCACAGAGAACTCCAGAGGCCCCACTACCACGTCCTTTACCATACCACTACTACTCCAGGCTGGACACCGCCCATGCCTACCCTCCATCTGGGGCTGTGAGGGAGTCCGGGTGGCTGAGGCCCTTTGGGACTCCCAGCCTTGCCCAGCTCAGAGGGTGGGGCTGGGAGTGGTAGGTCGATGCTGCCACCTGGTGGCTCTGAGTGGATGAAGCTATGTTGACCCTCTCCTGTCTCTTTCCCCTATTTTTGGCCTTCCTGAGGTCCAGTTGCAAAACCCTGCAGGTCTCACATGTCTAAAGCCATTCTATGGACTGAGATGAGCTTAGATGATAGTCACCTGCTCCTGCACTGGGGAGGAGATGGGTGTCTGAGGGATGGGACTTCGGGGAAGAAAGGCCAAACATCAGCAACCTGGAGGCAGAGAGGAACCAGTTCATAAAGCACTGGAGGATGAATTGGGGGCTGAGTGGGGTAGCACAGAAGCCCAGGCCTCTGATGGGAGGGCCAGGGGCAAAGCTGAATCTTCCTTTGGGGACTTCCTTTGGGAATAAGGCTCCTGCTACTTAAAGCTGGGAGAAAGAGGTTTGATGTAGAGGAGACTTGTTATTCACTCTTACACACACACACACACACACACACACACACACACACACGCGCAGACCACAGAGTTGATAGGGGATGAGCTCCCACAGGCACAGCAGAGATCACAGAAAACCATCCGAAGGTTCAATGAAATCCCTGCTGTGGGAGCTGCTGACAAAGGCTTGGTGAGGTGGAGAATGGGGACTGTCCCCACCTTCCTACCATCTACTCTGTAGCTTTAGGGACCAGGTAGCTAATGCCCCGACATCAGTCCAGGAGTGCCAGTCAAAATAGTTAGCACCTGGCCAGGCACGGGTGTCCCACCAAAAGGTCAAAGGCAGACCGTACAATGTCTTTGATCCTTTGAGAAGGTTCTGTTCTACTCCTAGGCTCCTGATAGCTTTTACCATGAACGGCTGTAGAATTTAGTCCAATACTCTTTCTCCAACTAGTGACAGGATCATATGGCTTTCTCCTTTCCTCTGTTAAAATGATGACTTTTGGGGGTGGATCTTCCAATGCTGAACCAACACTGCCATCCCTATAACAAAACCACTTTCTACATCCTGCCAGATCTGACTTCTAAGAGTTTGTTTTGTTGAACAAATTTCTTTCTATGTTCATACTTTTTTCTTCTATTATCTTTATCCAGTTTTAGGTTTAGCACAATGTTGAGTTCCTAAAATGAGGGGAGAAGTGTTCCTTCTTTTTCCTGCTTTAAATATTTGATATAGTTTACCAGTTAAAATGTATATGAGCCTGCTGTTGTCATACAGGTAGGTTTTCAAGCTAGGAATATACTTTCTTTAATAGGTGCTATTCAAATTTTATATTTCCTCCAGAGTCAGTTTCATTAATTTGTCTTCCAAGGTACTTCTTAGAAGTTGTCAAATTTATTTCACAAAGGATTTTTGTAATATGCCTTCTATATCCTTTAAAATTCTGTAAAATCTGTGGTAATGTCTCCTAGATCTTGATATTATAATTTTTTAAATGTATAATTGATATTATGTAATAGGAAGAAAAGGTCTAAAGGAGCAGGGGAAGTGGGAGGGGTAGGGGAGAGGAAAGAAGGGAAAAGAAAAAATATGAGAAAAGAAAAAAAAATAGAAAAAAGTCTTTGCAAATAGGGAAGGGTGGAGGGGGTGAAGGGAGGGCAGGGGAAGGGGAAAAAAAGAAGAACCAAGATCCTCATGTAATGGTACAAGATCCCAATGATGAATGTAACTATTTTATACCTAAAATGTACCAATAAACTCAATGGGGAAAGGAAAAAAAAGGTAGACTATACAGATAGAGCAAGGTCCTGGGCCCCTGCTGGACCACAAGGAGGTCTGGAGAGTGCAGGCAAGACTGGAGGATGTTCAAAGAGATTCCAAGACCCTCAAGGCAGCAGCTAATTTCCCACTAGGAAAGACATCAGGATTCTAACAGGAAGAGCAGATCTCCCAATCGATCCAGACCCTGGGTTACCCAGGTGAGCTCTGACTCTGGTCGGGACACAACAATCGGCCCCAGCCCTGGGAGGTGACCGTCAAGAAGAGCCATGGCAAAAAAAAAAAAAGAAGAGCCATGGCACACACTCTCAGGGTCCTGTGCTAGGCATGGGCCCCCACTCACCACTGAGAAGTTGTGAGGGCCACAGGGTCCCCCACTGTAGGAGCAATAGAGCAGCATGTCCTCCAGTCGGTGGCAGGAGCGATTGTAGAAACGATGCAGATTAAAGGGCTCCCCAGAAAAAGCCTCTGGCCCAGGTGGAGCAAGAGGTACCCCAGGATCATCACTCTCATCCAGCCCCAGCATGGGGGCCAGGTACAGCAAGTCAGGGTAGCTGAGCTGGGATAGCCGCACGGCATTGGTGTTGCAGAGGGTGACTGCTGGGAAAGTGAGCTCCGTGGAGGCCACTTCATCTAGCCGAGTCACATGCGGGTAGCTGAGGTAATAAGCAATGCGGTCCCCTACCTGGCACAGGAAGGCACCCAAGGCGAGAACAAAGGCCACTGCCCACAGGGCCTGCCTTGGCCCTGGAGCCCCTGCCACAAAGACATGACTGGCACCATGCAGGGTACAGCTGTTGGCGAAGGCCACTAAGTCCACAGGCGAATCTCCTTCATTGGGCTCCTTCCTCAGCATCTTTTTCTTCTCTTCTTCCTCCTCTTCTGATTCTGAGTTGCTCCATGAGTGCTGCTGCTGCTGCTTCTGCTGCTGGGGACCCCAAGCATCTCCCAAGGGCCCCGAGGCCACCTCTCCAGAAGAGAAAGACACAGAGCAGAAGATCCGGATGGGCATCTTCTTCAGGGGCTTTCTGTTTGTTACCAGGGAATTGGCAGGAAGAAGGAAGAAGGTGCTGGAGGGAAAGGAGATCTGACCCTAGAGAGTGGGCCAGAGCCAGCCACCTAGCCCTGTGGCCAGATCTCTGAGACCCAGCTGGCTGTCCTTCCTCACGGGCGCTCAGTGGCAGTGCGGCTGAGCTGGGGCGGGGTGGGGTGGGGCGGGGCAGTAGAGGAGGGCCAGCCAGTCCGCTAGGGAGGCTGGTGTCTGTGCTCATGAATAATTGATGGTGGGAAAGCGAGGGTGATGGAGAAGAGGGGACTGGAGCCCCTTTCCTGACGCTGGTTCCAGCGGGACACAGAGGGTTTAAGACAAAGTGGAAAAGCCTAGGGCCCGGGCTCCCATTCCCCCTCCCCAGGTGAGGCAGGACCCAGCACCATCCTGTGCTCCCACTGCCAGGATGATCTCAGCTGGCAACAGTCCCAGCCTCCCCTGGGACACACATGCAGGCTCTCTTTCCCTCCAGTGTGCCCTGGGCATGTCCCTCAGTTTCCCGACCCCAGTTCTGACCCTCTTCCTTATTCTTACCTGCTCCAGGTATTCCTCTGGGCTATCTAAAGCCCTCACACTCCGTGGGCACTCTCTCCGGCTCTAATTCTTCTCTAGTTCCCTTTGACCTAAGACACCCTCCCAACTATTTTACTGATTCCCAACTCTCCCAATGCATCAGTGCATCCCGATTTACTTTGGGTTATTCCCCAAGCCCCCAGTTTCTCTGCAGTCATTCCCCTGCAAACATTCAAGTTCCCTCCGGTGAGTCTCTGACCCCCTTTCTTTTCCTCTTTCTCCCCTGACCTCCAGCTGTACTTCAATTCTGCATCCCTCCCCCATGCTGAGCTGCACTTAGGTCACTTTCCCTCCCCTCTGCCTTTTGTGGCTTGGGGGCAGCCCAGGTTCCATTAGCAGAGGTCTCTAACTGGCCACAGACTCATTTCTGGTCAGTTCCTGGCACTGGGGAGGGACCCTGTGTCTTGCAGCTGAAAAGCTTACTGGCAGATCACCACCACTCTCCTGTCTTGCCCAGCCCCCAACAGCTCAGAAGAGAGGTTCGAGGAATTGTCTTCTGGCGGGAGGACAGGACAGAAATGACATCAGTGCAGAGATAGAGGGTTCTGGGTCAGACAGAGTATTGGGAGCCCCCCCCAACCCTCAGCCTTGTAGATCTCCAGCTCTCCAGTCTTTGTGCACCCCCTGGTCCCAGGCTCCTGGGCCTTCTGAGGGGGCCACTGACTGAGGAACTTGAGCCACCAGCCAAGTCTCCAGGGCCAAGAAGGTGACCTGAGGGGAGTGGAGGGAGGGAGAGAGGAAAGGAGGATAGCAGATTAACCCTTCCTCTGCAGGGCCAGAGGAGGAGCAGTGGGGACAGGACAAGTCTACCTGGGCTTTGCCATTCCTTAATCATCCCAGGGCCCTGCCTCCCATTTCCCCTTCTCATTTGTAGGGACTCTGGAGTGTGGGGGATGGGAGGCAGAGTGCCAGGTTTTAGCAGAACTGACTGTTGTGCAACCTTTGGCCTTAGCTTTGCTGCCAGAGACACAGAGGTCCCAGAAGAAGAGAAGCCTTGAGGTCTGGCTCCTCTCCAGCCTTATGCCGCTGCCCTCAGACTGGCCTCAAACTGTTTTGCCTGAACAACAGCCTCCCAGTGGGCTTCCTTGCCCCCCTGCCTCCCTGCCCTTTCTCCCTACCTTCAGTCCATGGTACGTGACTCTGACCATTCTTCTGTTTAAAGATCTCTCACTCCCTGGCACCTCCTGGTAAAATCCACTCCCCTGCGTGGACCTACAAAGCTGAACGTCATGTACCCTCCTGTCTCACTTCTTCCTGCTGCTCTGTCCCTTCACCCCAGCCCTATGTCCAGGCACTGTGACTCTCCCTAGACACACTATGCTTTCCCCAGACTCTGTCTGGAAAGTACCTACTCATTTTTCTTTTTCAAAACACAGGGTCTTGCTATGTTGCCCAGGCTGGCCTCAAACTCCTGAGCTCAACCCATCCTACTTCAGCGTCCTAAGCAGCCGGGACCACAGGCATACACCACCATGCCTGGCTTCCTACTTGTTCTTCAAAACTCTGCTCTCACATTTTCTCACTAAGAAGCATTTCCTGACTCCACAGGATACAATCAGTGACCACCCAGGGAATAGGCTGAAGGCCGCAGTTCTGCTCAAGGCCCTTCAGGGATGCGTAGTAAGCAGTAGCTCCTTGAGGTAGAGCCTCTGAGAGCAAAAGACCAGGACCTTGGAAGAGGGAAAGACCAAGAACACCAGGGCAACTGGAGATAAATCACTTCAAGAGACCGAGAGAGAGACCCCCTACTCTCAGCTGCTGTCTTGGGGCTTCTTCCACATAAATTCATGGTTTGCTTTTCTGCTTCCTGCCCCTTGGGCAATTTCTTCCTTCCTGCCAGACCTCAGCTCTCTAAGGGCAGGGTCATCTTGCTTTGCATCAACACTCAGAAAGTGTTTCAGAGGTGAGTTCCAGACTTGGCTTGGGCTGGGAAGGCTTTAGCGGCCACGTGTTTCTTGACCACTAGAGGGCATTGTCCCCCTCTTTCATCAGTCCTGGGAGGGGGTATAGATTGGATTTCAGAGGAAGGAAACTAAGGTGGGAGGAGCTTCTAGCATGGGGTCCACGTCAAAGAGAAGGCCATGCAGACACAGAGTGGCTTCAAAGAACAGCCATATACCTCTTCCCCAGCACAACATCAAGACCCACTCTGCACTCCTATACCCAGACACACACATTCGCACACGCAGCCGTATTCCTCCCTCCTCTGTCCTCGGCAGCCTCGCTCCTCTGATGTTCTCTCTCACCCTCGCCTCGTTCAAGCAGACAAATCCAAAGCTGTTCAGTCATGAGGAGCTAAGGAAAGTGCTAGGGGAAATACATAGACCCAAGGCACACACAGAAGGCTGCGGAAGATGTACCCACGTGCACGGGTACGCGCGCACGCGCACACACACACAGCCACTCTCAACTCCAACCCTCAGCGCCTCTTCCCCACGACCCTCCTCACTAGTCCTCGTCTTCAGCTGTATGTGCCAACGGAGTGGTTCCTGATTTGCTCTGTTATCTCTTTCTGAATTTCAAGCCCCTCTCACTTCTGTGGAGTGTTTCGTGGGGTCTTTACATAGCCCACCAAAGAAGTGGGTATGAGTAACTTCACCACCACTCGACAAGCAAGGAAGTGGAGCCACACAGCTGGTTTTGGTCTCAGGATGAGCAAGTAATGGGTTTGAGACTAGAGTTAGGGCCTCTATCTCTAAATTCCTTCCTGCTTTATTCTTCATTTGCTCGTTGACACAATGGAGAGCAGATAATGGGCCCAGATCCTGCCCTCATGGCGCTCATGATCTAACTCCATTTAAAAGCTATAAATAGCGTTAGGCATAACAGCACATGCCTGCAAACCCAGGAAGGCTGAGGCAGGAGGATCATGAATTTATGGCCAGCCTAGGCTCTATAGTGAGTTCAAGGCCAGCCTGAGCCACACATCTGTTTCAATAGATAGATAGGTAGATAGATAGATAGATAGATAGATACATAGATAGATAGATAGACAGATAGACAGATAGATAGAAACTTTATTGTAAACTATGAAAGTGCTTGGAAAGTAATAATATAGTTTTATGGAGATGAGAGCATGGGGACCTTACCCAGGCCAGGGAATTAAGGATAGTTTCTCTGAGAAGATGATGTTTGAATTGCAATCTAAAAAATAAAAAAGGGATAATTATTTATATGTGTGGAGGGTGGTGGGAGTTCCAGGGAGACAACAGAGTGTGTGCAAAGGCCTGAGGGGAGAGAGCAGAGAGGAGGCAGGTGTGGCTGGAGAGCTGGGTAAAGGCAGGCAGGAACCAGGTCACTCAGGACCTTGAAGGTGAAGACTCTGGTCCAACAGCAAAGGAAGACCCACCCCTCTGTGGACACCATTTGGTGTCAAATGGTTAAAGCTGTGTTTTGAAAAGATAGCTCTGGTTGGAGAGTGGAGAAGGTACAGAGGCTGCCTGAGGACTTGCAAGGACCCACTGAAGCAGTCCAGGTGAGACCCGGGGTGTAGGATGGTGAGGGCAGGGAGTGGAGTGGAGCTATTTAGGTGGCACAATTGGCAGATCTTGTCAGGGCTTGATGGCCTATCAAGGCAAGTAAGGGCTCGGCTTGTTCAAATAACAGTGCATGGAGGGGTGGCTCCCTCAGTCAGGCACATAGGTAAGGGACTCATTTGACAGATAAGAGCTTGTGTTTGGTTTTGCACATGCTGGTTCGGAGGAGTCTTGAAGACATCCAAGTAGCAATGGTAAGTGGAAAATTGACCATCAGAGCTGATGCTAGACAAGAGAGCTGGTCTTGGGCTGGGGATTTAGCTCAGTGGTTTCGCCGCCTGCTGCACAAGCGCAAGGACCCAAGTTCGATCCCCGGTACCAAAAAAATAAAAAAGAGAGAGCTGGTCTGCGACATAAATTTGGCAGTTGCCAGTGTGTAAATGGTAATTGAAGTCATGCATGAGGATGAGACTGCCCAAGAATAGAATATAAAATTGAAAAAAAAGGTAGAAAGGAACGAAAAAAGGCCTGATTTGGCAGCATTGACTACTGCTAAATGGAATCCTACCTTATGACTTAACCATAGCTTCTAGTTATAAACCCAAGAGAAATGCATGCATAGATCAACTAAAAAAAATTTAATAAGAGTGTTCTCCGTAGCTTTATTTATAAGATCCCCCCCCAAAAAAAACCCTAGATAATAATCCAAATGTCTAGTAATAGTAGAATGGATAAATTGTGGTATAGTCATATAATGAGATACTACATGGCTCTGAAAAAGAACCAATTACTACTGTACTTAATAACATGGCTAAATCTCACAGACAAAATCATGAGCAAAAGCAGACACAAAGAAGTAGAAACTGGATTGAGAATACACATACTCTAGGAAGTGTGAGAAGGGGTGAAACTTACCCATACTAATAGAATACTGCCTAACTCTGATGGTATGGAATTCCCTGGGACAAGGCCTGAAGAAACTTTCTGGTGTGCTGGAAATGCTTACATCAATGTACATACACACCAGTGTAATAACCACTGTAGCATGCACATATTACATTGTAAGATATACCAGTGTAAAAATTCTTCAAGCTATACCCTTAAGGTATACCCTACCTTTGCGATTTAAAACAATCAAATGTGGGGCTAGGCCTTGAGTAGAGACAACACCTAATGACCAAGGAGAAGAGAATGAACTGGCAAAGAAAGAGTAGCTATACCTAAGAGGAAGACCAAGAGTTGGCTGTCTGAGAAGCGAGTAATTAGTTTGCTTTTTTTTGGTACCAGGGATCGAACTCAGGACCTTGCACTTGTGAGGCAGGCACAGCATCACTGAGTTAAATCCCCAGCCCAGAAGAGAGTAGTTAAAGAAGGAGAGTGTGTCAACTGCTTTGAATGCTATTGAAGATCAAGGATAAAACCTGTTTGCTGGGGTGGGGTGTGGTGGCACAGGCCTGTAATCCCACCACTCAGGAGGCTGAGGCAGGAGGACTGCCATGAGTTCAAGACCAGCCTGGGCTACATAGCAAGACCCTGCCTCAAAAAGCCAAAAGCCAAACCAACCAACCAAACAAAAAAAACCCATGTTTGCTGAGTTTGGCAGTATGAAAGTCACTAGTGGCCTGAGCTAGAACTACTTAGGAACAGTGTGATGGGGAAAAGACAGCCTGCAGTAGATCAGAAAGTGAGCTGGAAATAAGAAGATGGGGAACAGGAACTACATACATTACATTTAAGGACTTTGTGAAGGGAAGAAGAGAGATAGTGTGGGAGCTGGAGGGTGCTGTGAAGTCGAGAGATGTATGTGTTTTGGTTTTTAATCTTAGCTCAATGCCTGATACATAGTAAGTGCTCAATAAATGGTGTTGTCATTGCAGCTATTTATTTATTTGAGATTGGGGTCTCATTGTGTTTCCCAGGCTGGTTCTGAACTTCTGGGCTCAAACCATCCTCCTGCCTCAGCTTCTCGACTGGCTGTGAGTATACATGGTATATATTTTTAAGTGAAACCCCTTTAAGCTGTTGGTGGGACAGCTCTGCTTGAGAAGGAAAGACTGCTTATAGAGAAGGGAGAGATAGGATCAGGAGGATAATGCTCCTTAAAAGGTAGAAGGGAAGCAGATGGAAAGAGCAGGTTGAGATTTTACCTAAGATGAGAGGAATGGGGTCTTTGAGGTGCTGGTACGCAGAGGAAGGAGGTCTTGCCCAAGGCGTTTATTGATTTATTTAATTTTGGGGGGTGAAGTTGGAGGCAAGGTCATCTGCTGAAGGTGAGAGAGGAGCTGGGAACTAGGAAGGTGGCTGTTGGAGAAGTTTGCTCTACTCACTGGGGAGGGCAGGTTGGCCACCAAGACACAGTGGGGTTGCCAGACAGCACTGCAGCCTTAATAAGGACACTGATCATGAGCACCCTGTGACAGCACACTGCCCAGCACGGTGCCCTGCTGTGTGCCAGCCTCCAGTAGAGCCTGGCTGCCCGCATGCCACCCTGGGGAAAGCCAGCACTGGGTTCATCCAAGCTTGGGACTTGGCCAGCTGGTGCAATGAAAAGGCAGAGTCCGAAGACGTGGCATGCTCAACCCAGGGGCCTTCTCCTTTTGTACCCTTTCTTTCCCTTCCTGCCTTAGCACACTGCTTCTCTGCAGAGCATGGGCTGGGCCGCTGGGCAGCATGGGCAGCTGGGGAGCCCAGTTCAGCCTGGCCACTCACACATACTCCTGTTCCTGCAGCCACACTCGGAGAACCTGCACTCACAAGATCCGGACCAGACCGGGGCCCACTCAGTCATTCACTGGCTATGTGACCTCCCCTCAAGCAAGTCAGATAACACCTCTAAACCTCAGTTTCCTCATTTTTCCCAATGAAGATATTGAGAATCTTCTGGAACTATGAGGCTCACATGAGTGAAAGTGAAGGAAATTTGTAAATTTCGAAGCAAGACCGAAAGCTGATTAATTTTGTTAGTATGTTTTCTACATGCAACTAGAAGTTTGTTGGCTCAAAACCTCCCTCCCATAGCCACACACTCTGAGCTGCATGTGCCTCATGGACATCCACGCTTTCTGGCCTAGTCTACATCTACATTCTCCTCCAGACAGATGCACACGTGTGCTTGCTCCCAGAGGCACACATGCAATGAGTAAGTATGTTGTGAAAAGGCTCAGTTGGCTGCTGTCCATGGTCAAGGCCACGGCAGCAGTCTCTCCCTGGGGATGTTCTAAGCTGGCATGCTGATGCGACACCCCAGATAGAGACACACAACAGTAAGCAACAAAGCCCAGCCTCTCAGACCCCAGGACATATTGCCACATAAAGGGCTAGCATATGAGGAGGGTGGGAGGGGCTTTTCTTTCTGGGAACTCCCAGGACCTCAGGAAGATCACAGCTTGCCCTTCCTTTCTTTCTGGAGTAGCCTTTGAGATCCTAGGGCAAGAGTCTCTGTTCTTACAATTTCTTGGGGGAACACAGCCATTTCATGCTCATTTTAAAATATCCTGTGCCTAAGATGTCCCGTGCAGGTGTCCAGGTGAGTTGGCACAGCACATCCCTCACACACGGGCGAATGTGCCCTTGGCCAGTGTCCCAGAGGCTCTCTCACCTGGAGGCTGAAGGAGTAGTTGCATTTGGACAAAGAGCTCTTGAACAACCCCCTGAGAGCCCCTTTGTCTCATAGAAAGTGGGGCCTAGAAGCTGAGAAATGTGGGGTAGAACTCTGCCCAGTGCCCAGCTCTACCCTCCAGTTCAGCTGGGCACTACTTCTTGCTGATCCCTTCCCAGTTCTGTGTCCCATTGCCTACCCAAGGGCCCTGCCTGGGAAGTCCTCAACCAAAGGGTAGAGGCTTCTGGCTCAGACAAACAAGTGAGGGAAAGTTCGTGTCTGGGAGGCCTGGCCAAATGCAGGAGAATGGCCCTTGCTGGAGAGAACTGGCTGGTTCCTGAGCTACGGAGGCTGGGCTGGGGAGACACCTGTGTACTCTAGAGCTGTGGAGGATTCTGAATAACTGAGCACCAGCTGAGACTGGCAGAATTCCACCTGGAGGGCTAAGTCCCCTGAGGTCAGAGCTGGGATCTCCCTTTCACTGAATATTCCAGCCCCAGCACAGGACCTGCCCCTCAGAAGCGGCTCTGCCTCTTGCATGAATGGATCCTGTGCGGATAACATTCCCCCAACCCCAGCTCCTCATTCCTAATTTTCAGGCTCCCTCTTCACCCCCCTAGAATTGCAGTTGTTTTCTACAATGTGGAAGCACACTCAGAAGCAACCTCCTCCCACAGCAGAGCATTCCTGACCCCTCCACAGGTCTCCCTTCAGCCTTCTGGGTGTACAGGGTACAGGACCACCTATGAGTGCATTCTGAGTTTGGCTGGGGACCAAGGAAGCTCTCCTCCTCTCCAGCCCTCCACTTCCAGCTTGGCCCCCAGAGGCACTTAGTTACATCAATTCCCTATTACTTTAGCCAACAGCCAGGAGATCAATTAGCCTAGAGTAGCCTCTTAGCTGAAGGCAGTCTGGGAGAACTGGCTGGGCTGGGAGAGGTGGAGGATGTGCGAGAGGAAACCAAGTTAGCCAGAGGATATTTGTGCATGTCTGTCAGGGTGGGGGAAGGAGAGGGAGAGACCCCAAACCTGACCCTGGATTCCTGCAGCTGGCTCTGCCCAGCTCCTCTCCAGCATCCTCTGAGCAGTGCAGGCACTCCCCAGGGTGAGAGGGAGAGATGGGAATGGCAGGGCCAGAGGGGCCTGGAGCCATGAGCCCCTCAGGTGGGGCGCCGTTCATCCACTTGAGCCTCTTCAACCTCTGGATGCTTCGCCTGCTCCCTACCCCAGCCTACCCCGAAGAGCCCCTGGGTGAGGTTATCAAGACCAGCTTTCCTCTGTGCTTGCCTTCCTCTCTCCGTGTGGCAGTCTGGACAGCAGCTTTGCCCTCCATTGCCCCTATACTTCCTGCCTAGCTGAAGGGAACAGGCCTAAGTAATAAGGTTGGGCCCTCCTAAGGGACTCCTGGTCTGAGCTCCTGTGGGGTGAGGTGGGGGTTGTTGATGAAAGGAGGAAGCCCTGGGCCTTACCAGCCTTGGCTCTGATTACTTTAAAGTGACCTCTCCGTCTCCCTTCTGGGTCCCGGGATCACCCACCCATATTGGCTCTCCTGTCACCATCTCTCCTCCCTAGGTGCTTCAGAAGATTCCTGTACCCTCCAAAGCCGTGGGGAGATTCTGAGCCCACCCTTTTCACTCCACCTCTCCTCTGGGTGGTTCCTGTCCCCACTCCAGGAGAGGACCCTCCCCAAAGAGATTCCCTTCCCCAATTCGGCCTCCTCCTGAGATTTCTTTCCCTACCATACCCCTGCCCCCAGAATTTCCACTGTCTGCCCTCATCTTCCTTCTCTTCCACGATCCAGACATGAATTCCCGCTTCTCTCTCCCCCACGCAAAGGCTCCACGTCTCAGCTGGGTGGGGGGGGGCATAGGGCAGACTGGGCAACCATCTGCCAGCCCCCTCCTCTTGGTGCTGCTCAGAATTCAAGGCACACTGCAGCTCCCACTGCCAGGGACAGATAAGGTGCAGCTGGAGGCTGGCACCAGCTGGGACTGCTCACTCCAAAGCCCCCAGCCAGACACCAGCAGACAGCTGCGCCCCTGGCCTCCCTCCATGGAACCCCTGCCCTGCCTAGGCCTGGCTGGCATCAAGGTGGGGCAGAGAGAGGAGCCTCAGACTCTGTTGCCCTAGCAACAAAGCACCTCTCGAGGAAGGGAAGGAGGTAGCCAGGAAAGAGGAGACCTTGTGGTTGAGTCTTCCTTGCTCTTTAGATAGCTCAAGAGAGAGCTACTGAGGTATGTCCAGCTGGATTGCTTGGGGATACTCCCTTGACTGCCCTGCTGCTCCTTCAGTCCCAAAGAACTTCCAAAGCAGTTTCTCCTAGATTTAGTCCCCCACATTCACTCCCATACCTGGGGATGGACCCTGGTCCAACACTCCATGACCACCAGTCCATTCTCTGAGGTTGAGCTGAATTCACAAGCACATCTTGGGGAATGCCTGTCACTGAAGATCCCTGTCAGGGGCTGGGGTCTCTGGGGATCCGAGTTGCCCTCTGAAATGGCCTTTAGGAACAGAGTTCTTCTTTTTCTTTTCTTTTGTGGTACTGAGGATTGAACCCAAGTTCTTCTCACTGAGCTACATCCCCAGCCTTAGTATTTTTTAAAATTCTGAAACAACGTCTTGCTAATTAATTAAGTTGCCCAAGGTAGGCTCAAACTTGCAATCCTCCTGCTTCAGCCTCCCTGTGTGCTAGAATTACAGGTGTGTACCACCACACCTGGCTTGGGACAAGGTTGTTATTATTTGGATGAGTTTCCCTGGGAAAATGCACAGGAGAGTCCACATGGGCTCACGGATGCTTCTGCCCTCAATTAAAACCTGCTCTTGAGGCTGCAGAAGATTCCAGGATGGTCTCTCCTAAGCTCTGACCCTGTGGACAGATGTTTTGTGTCAGTGACATATTTGTCCAGGGGCTAGATCCACATCCACGTCCCTAACATACCTCTGGGCCTAGCTGAGAATGGCAAACATGGGGAGATAGCAGTCAACTAGAAGACCTAGGAGATGAGAGAGAGCGGAGCACAAGGAGGAGCATGTGAGCCCCTGAGGGCCCCAGGCCCTTCTCCAGGGAGATGCCAGACAAAGACTCCCCCACACACGGGAGTAACCCTACGGACAGAAGTGGTAGAGGCCTTCACATGGAAAGCAGTTGGCAGTGAAGGTACAGAGAGGGGCTGAGGGTTTGAGTCCAGCCAGGTTCAGGTCTTTGATATAGGCCAAGAAGCAGACAGCTCAGAATCAAGAAGGATACTAGCCTGTGTGTCTCCCCTGAGCTCCTGGAAAGAGAAAGAGCTTAGATTGCTCCAGAACTCCGAGAACCCATCGGATCTCCATCTGACAGTTTCGAAGTGTCCCTTCAGTTGGGCAACATGGTACCATCACATTTCAGCATCCCTGTTACTGTGAGCCAAATGCGTCTTAGCATCACCACTTAGAAGCTTCCTGAACACGGGGGACAAATGGATCCTCGGTTAAACACTTTCTGTGGACAGTTTCCCAGCTTTATCCCTTAGCACCTTTCCAGGTTGAGCCAAGCTCCTCCCTCCCACATCCAACCCTACAAACCATCGGGCAAATAGGTTTTCTCTCTCTTTCCAGGAGGTTCCTTCCACTTGTGTGTTGCATGTGTTGAGGAGGGGGAGGGGTCTGGCTTTGGCTTCCACCTCTTTGCCTTCAGTTCTACTTCTTGGGACTATAGTTTGTGAGCCTGGGACCCCTATGGTCTTGAGCACTGGGGAATCTAGGACTCTCCTATTGTGAAGAAGGAAAAGAGTGAAGGAAATGGTTTTTGCACACAGGTGAGGATCCCACCAGCTTGGCTCAGATAGAAGTACGGTCGGGCCGGGGATTTAGCTCAGTGGTTTCGCCGCCTGCTGTGCAAGCACAAGGCCCCAAGTTTGATCCCCAGTACCAAAAAAAAAAAAAAAAGAAGAAGAAGAAGTACGGTCATGTAACCTTTGTCCTCCAGGACTGACAACAGCCTATGAAACTAGTCTGCACAGCAGGACTTAAGGGACTGGGAAGCCCTATGTAACCTTAGCAGAAACATTAAGCATGACCACTGCTCTAACCTTTCCACACAGAAAAATGCAGCCATGCTTCCCTGATGCTAGGAGGAAGCAAGTAAGTGGGGGTGAAAATGGGCAGAGAGAAAAGGGAGGATTTAAGAGTGGAGCCTTAGGGCTGGGGATGCCTGGTACCAAAAAAAAAAGAGTGGAGACTTAGGAGTTGGCACAAGAACAGGGGGTCCTGGGGAGACCGGGTTTTGAACAGCAATGCCAGAATTGGAAGTGGACACAGAACTCCAGGGTCAGCAGTACTAATGAAATGACCACACTGCCCTGGGACTTGATGAGACACAAGTTCTAATCCTGAATCTGCCACTAACCAGTTAGTGAGCTTAAGCAAACTATTCTGCCTCCTTGTGTCTTAGTCTGTGCATTTGCAAAATAGAGATAATATGATTATTCATCAAAGGGGCCGATAGAACGTAGCAACCATTCTAGAGTTACAAACAGCCTCCTCCCACTTGGGGTTATGATTACTCACACATGGCTCCAGGTCCTTTGGTGTCTTTCTAGTCTCTGAGGTTTTTGTTCGTTTTGAGATGAATCTTGTTACACTGCCCAGGCTGGCCTCAACTCCTGGGCTCAAATGACCCTCCTGCCTCAGCCTCCTGAGTAGTGAGACTACAGGTGTGTACCACTGTCCAGCTTCTCTGTGCAGTTCTTACCCCTGAAGAGACTATGTGATTTGCCCAGGACCACTTAGCACATCAAATGCCAAAGTCAGTTCCCTGGCACTGAGGCTGGTGTGTGTGTAAATCATCTCCATTTTCAGAAGCAAAGTGAGCCTCAGTTCAGCCATGACTACATCCATTCACCTCTGCCCTTGACTCTGTGGCTTTACCTGGCAAGGAAGAGGGGAACCTAACAAGACAGCGAGTGTCCGCACATGCATGTGTGTTTGTGTGTGTATGTGTGTGGGGTGAGGGGGACAGAAAGATTTGCTGTCCAGCTGTTTAAGGGGAAATTTCTCTTTCCTCCCATGCTTCATGTTGCTTCTTAAACTTTAATGCTCACTCACATCACCTGGGCATGTTATTAAAATGCAGATTCTGATTCAGTAGGTCTGGGAAGTCAGGTAGCAAAGTCCTACATTTCTTTTAAGCTCCTAGGTGTCAATCCCCAGACCCCATTTTAAGTAACAAAGTTGTAGCTCACCTGCCACCATTCCCAACTCTGACACCTGCGGCCCAGAAAGTAAGGTTGGAGTTTGGGGCCATGCCAGAGCACTTGTTTGCATGCGTACATAAGTGTGTATGAATGTGGTGTGCACTATAGGCTCTCTTGTGCCACATAGATGCAAGGCTGAAGCTCAGGCCCTCATGCAGTGCAATATGCTCCTGTGCTGAACAAAGTCCCCTCCTACCAGAAGCAGCCCCAAGACACATGACTTCCTCTCCCAGACAGGCAAGCACTCTGAGAGGCCTGGCTTGCTCCCTGTCTCCTCCTCTGGGGCCAGGCCGACACACATCTCACACCAGGAGACTCACTCACCACCTTGAAGTCTTCAGCGCTGCAGACCTCTCCCCGAAAGTGGCAGGAGAGCAGCATGTCTCGAATGTCATGTCCTGCACGGTCATAGAATTCACGCATGTTGAAGGGCTTGGGCTTGAAGCTTCGGAAGTTGGCCTTGTCCTGCAATATCTCCAGCTGTTTTTCATCGGCCATCTGCGTGTCTGGTATCTCATACCTGGAGCCCGGGTGAGTGGCACATGGATCAGCATGACCACCAGTGCCCTATAACCTATTTGGCAGAGGGCAGCATCCAGCCCTGGATATCAGGCATGGGTACAGATAGGCAAGGAAGGAAAGCCAGGCTGGTCCAGAGGATCTGCCACATGGAGTCTGGGAGGACATAAGGATCTATAGTGGCTCCCAGGGCCTGGGCCTCTCAGCACAGCAGTGAGGGGAAGTGCTGATATGGCAGGGGCTGTGGCTTTTATGACAGTTGCTACCTTTTTTTTTTTTTTTTGGTACGGGGATCAAATTCAGGACCTTGTACTTGTAAGGCAGGCAGTGGCACCACTGAGCTAAATCCCCAGCCCAAGTCACTACCTTTTAAAGGTGCTCTGTCCCCATCCCCCAGGGACATAGTGGCAGATGGGAGGGCAAAGCTCACTCCAGAAAGGGTACCAATGTCTCAGCTCAGGCAAGGTAGGAGTAGAGAGCTGTTTTGGACCATGTTGGGACCGGAGATTAGGTGCCTTTCACTGGGTTGTCAGTAGTACCCTAGTTCCTCTGTGTGAGTGGCACATTTGGGGGGGGGGTGGCTAGAGGACAGAGTTGGCAGCTCTGGGGTGGCTTGGGCAGGCAGGCACCCTGACTGGCACTCCTGGACCTTCAGGAGCAAGACTGAGGGGTGGGTCTGAGCTGCCCACCTGTTGTTGAGCAGGGCCAGCAGCTCCCCGGCATGGTACAGGTCATTCTTGGAGACTTGGCTAAAGCGGAACTCATTGAGATTGCACAGCGTGACTGCAGGGAAGGTGAGCTGGGAGGCAGCCACCTCGTCGAGTTTGGTGACGTGGTGGTAGTGGAAGTAGTACTGCACACGCTCGGTGCACACACACAGCAGCACAGCCAGTGAGCCCAGGAAGCACAGGGCCCACAGTGCCCGCTTCAGAGAGAGCCGCTCGTAGGAGAAGATGTGGGCCAGGCCGTGCAGCGTGGAGCTGCTGGCGAAGGCCTGGATGCTGACTGGCTGGAGGCCACCCACCTCCTCCTCCTCGGCCTTCAGTTCCATCCTTGCCAGGGGGACCCTGCGGGGAGGGGGAAGAGAGGAGAGTCTGTCGGTGTCCTGGGATGAGACTACATATGGGGCTCTTCTGACTGTGTCCCTCTCAAATCCTTATCTCCAGAGGTCACTGCTCTGGGGGCAGGAGCCTTTCCCAGTGTGCAAGTCTCAAGGCGGCTCACTCAGGAACACACCCCAGGATAGGGCTCCTCCACAGACAGACACAGAAGGGTTAGCTCAGGACAAGGGAGTGCTCTCCCAGGGAAGATTCCCAGGCCAGGGAGAGACCCCGGATTCAGTCACTCAAGGGACAGAGGGAAGTCCCGATGCTCCCTCAGGCAGGCATTGGAGTTCCCTCCAGATGTGGGGTCACTCTGGGACAGGAATGTCTACCCCACCCTGGAAACAACACTCCCCTAGATGGGCTGAACGGAGGATCAGGAGCTCTCTCCTGCTCAAGGGTATCCCCAGGATTGGGCTCTCACCCCAGGAGCTAAGCCAGGGCCAGAAAAATCCCCAGGGAGGTGGGTACCTCTGGGGAGGGGCCGGGCCTGAGCCCTCACCTTCCCGCGTCTCCAGTCCTCCTGGAGGCGGCTGTGCATGTGTTTGGGGAGGGGGTGGGGTGGCAGGCTACCCAGGTGGATCTATGGGGGGGGGGCGCGGTTCTCCCCGACAGCCAGTTGTCCCCGCCTCGAACGCAGTCCCCCCCCCGCCCCGACCCCTCTTCTAGTCGCAGTCAGATCCCCTGCTCGGCCCCGGCCCCCGCCCCGCTCCCCAGCCAGCGAGCTACCCCAGCTGCTAGGGAAAGACTGGGCTGGAGAGTTCCGGCTGTGGGGCGCTGGGGAGCCCCCGGCCGAAGCCGAGGAATCGGAAACCCACCTGAGGGGGCTTCGGGAAGCCCGCAGTCGGCAGCAGGTCCTGGGCGCGGGGCCGTTCGTGGGCTCAGCGCCGAGCCTCGGAGGGGCTCATAGCCCGGAGCCGGAGCCGGCGGCCGCCGCGGCGCGCCGCGCAGAGCCCTGCAGGGAGCGGCCCGCCGGCCGGGCTCGGATCAGATCGCGTCCGCCCGTCCGCTGGCCCGCGCTCCCTCTCTCGCTGCCTCGGCTCCTCCGCCCCGGCTCGGCGCGGTGCGCGGTGCGCGGTGGTCTCAGCCCCGGGATCTGCAAGGATCCATCGTCCGGCCGGGAGGCGGCGGGAGGGGCGGAGGAGGGGGGAGGGTGCGCGTGCGCGCCTACGAGTGTCTGCGAGGGTGCCTCTGGGCCAGTGTGACCGCGGCCCCCAGCCCGGAGCGGAACCGAGGGCTCCCGCGTTGGCTCGGCCCTCCACCGGCCGCTCCCGGCTGCGCTGCCTCCCTCCGGTCCGGAGCTGTCTCCCTGCCGGCTGCCAGGCCCGCTGGCTTGTGTGTGTGACTGTGGTGTGGTGTGGTGTGGTGTGTGCGCGCGCGCGCGGGTGTGTGCGCAGGAAGGAGGGTGTCTGCCCCCAGCTTCCCCCTCCCTGCGCTGTCTCCTTCAGATCGATTCTCCTGCTGCTTGCTGCTGCTTCCTCTAGTGGCACACGCACACGTGTACACACACACACACACACACACACACACACACTCCGAGTCACACTTGACTGATTTAAGCACTTGCCCATGTGGAGACAGACACATATAGACCAGAGTCACACAGAGTCACACCACTTTACACAGCCACACGGACACCTCACAGGTGCCCACACACCCTGGAGGCCTGACCCGCCTAGCAAACACTCACCTGTTCTTCTCCCTGCTCCCCACCTAGTGTGACACACACAGACATGGAAATATGTAAACAAACACATGGCCCTGGCTGCCCAGACACCACCCTGACAGCACGGGGGGGGGCTTGTCTTGGGGGGCATGTTTGCAACCCCTCACTGCCAAATCTCTAAAGGAGGAGCAGAAAGAAGAAATGAGAAATAGCCAGAGGTCAAGGAAATTTGGACAAAAGTAAGGAAAGGGGAAAGGAAATGGAGGGAGCAGAACAAGGAAGGGTTAGAAAGGGGAGAAGCCCGATTGAACCCAGGCCTCTGGCTGCTCCTGTGGCTCTCACCTCTGTTCTCTCCTTCCCTCCTCCTTTCAGAGAGGGCTTGGGGGGGCCCTCCCTATCCAATTAACAGAAAAGGAGCAATCAAGGGAAAGTTGTTAATTTGCTGGTGCTCATTAGGGGCTCTTAGCACTGAGGTTGTTGAGGTCTGATGGTGTCAGATGCGGGGGCGCGGGGGGGGGGACTGGAATTCTATCTCCAGCGGCTCCTTTGCTCCACTTCCAGGCTGGTGCAGCTCTGGGAGAAGGAAGGTGGGAGGCGGGTCTCCAGGACGTGGTGCTGAGTTTTAAATTGGAAGAAAGGATCTGTGAGGAGGAGACAGCATAGTGGAAAGAAGTCGGATAAGAAGTTATGAGGGATTGGGGATAAGAAGCACGTGGGTAACCAGTGAAAGAATCTGGAGATTCCTAGTGTGTCGGTTTAAGATTATGAGGAGGGAAATCAGGATCCATTTTACTAGGGTCCTGGCGTGGGTCAGCCAAAAGAAAGACCTTCCATTCTGGTCTTGGTTTGGGGAGCTGTCCAGCAGCGCTAGGCAGTGCTGGAGGGCTGCTGTGTCCCCGGGCACCCACTGGGTGGCAGCACTCTCCCAGTTACTCAGACTCCCCTCCAAGGGGCATTTGAGCGTGGGAACCGGCCTGGGGAGGAGGGTTCCAAACAGGGGCCTGAGGAAGCATTGGCTCCAGTCTGATTCCTGAGTCCCAAATGTCCCCAGGGGGAGGGGAGGGCCGTCTCGGAGCACTGTAAATCCCCCACCTTTCCACCCTCGCAGGTTGAGTGACGCATGGAGTCTCTTCTAATGGCTGCAAATCGCTTCAATCACCTGGGATGTTACTGCGGCAGCAGCAGCATCAGCGGGGGTGGAGGGAAGGTGATGAGGTGAGGCGGAGGCAAGGGAGGACTTATCCAGGCCTACTAACAGCCTCAGGAAGAGCCTGGGGAAAGATAAAAGGCATGAATTAGGCGACCTCAGCTCCCAGACCCTGTCCTGCCATTCAAGTCCCTTGACCTCTCTGTGCCTCAGTTTTCTCGTCGATAAAATGAAGATGATGTTTATTTCACAGGACTTTTCACGCATTATGCAAGCTAATGCACGGAAAACCTTAGCACATCAGCTTGTACTTAGTATAGCCTCAATAACTAAATAATCATTGTAACCATTAGGGTTTGGTAGAAACCACAGGTGCAGCTGCATCAGGACAGACTCTGAGATAGTGACTCTGAACCCACACTGCACAGCTGAATCACCTGGGGGAGATTTTCAAAATGCTGGTGTATTTCCCACCTTGAAGCAGAATCTCTGTGTGTGGGCCTTAGATGGCCCAACTTTTCAAACCTCTAATATGCAGTCAGTTTTGAGAAGGCTTCCTGTTCAGAATTCCTGTGTCTGAATCGAGACTCCATAGTGTTTCAGGCCTCAGGAAGTTTTGTCTTATACCCAGCCGCAATTCCTCATGCTGTTATTTCCTCCTGGGTTCAGATGAGTGGGCCCCTCATCATCCCTTCCCCTCCCTGTACACGGCAGCAAATCCCCACTGAGGTTTCTCCTGTATAAAATCCCAGGACGAGCCCTGGGACCTAGGGACACAAGGTGAGGAGGGACACAGTCCCTGCCCCTCCCAGTCTCCCAGTATCAAAAGAGAGATGAACCTGTTGGCAAATGACTAGTGCCAAAGTCCACAGTGGAATGGAAGGGTGGGCCCAGGCTGCCAGCCGAGAGTAGCAGGGGGGCAGTCATTCTGACTGGGGGCCAGGGCTTTGTGGGGCAAGCAAGGGGTAAGGAGGAAGTTGGTGAGGCCTCGGTAAGATGACACTTGAGGGATCTGGAGCTGTGATTAGTCTTCCACTCTGCTTCCCGCTTCTCTGGGCCCACCTACCTCTGGTGGCCCTGACAGACCCTGGATCCTCTCGTATCTTCTTGGCTTGCTCTCTATACTTCTGTCATCTCTGTCTCCAGCAGTTTCTAGACTCCAGGCCCTTTCTCCCCTGGGTGCTGAGGGGGAACATGGGCTGGAGATGTTTTTCCTCCACTGGAGAGAGGCATCTGCCAGGACCCATCCAGAGCTTTGGCATCATGCTGACCTGGGTTCAAGTGCCAGTGCTGTCAAACCAGTGCTGTGTGGTCCCAGGCAAGTAATGGCCTATCTCAGTCTCTCTGTTTTCCACAAAACAGGAAGACCCAACCAATGCCCACACCGATGAAATACTGCATGCCTCACAAAGAGTAGGTGCTCCATCAACAGTGGCGAGCATAATGATCAGCCCTGCGAGGCTGAGGGGAGCAGATTCCCCACGGATGCTTTCCAGGCAGATGGCCCCATCTGCTCTAGGTGCAGAAGTACCCTCCAGCCTCTCGGAGATGGGAGGGGACCAGGGGAGGGCACTCTCTGGGACTCCCAGTGCCCCCGTGTGTGAAATCACACGCACCCCGATCTGTCTGCATCCACTTCATTTGCCAGCTCAGCAAATGCAGAGACAATTAAGGAGTTAATTAGCAGGAAGCTGGGAAGGAGCTGGGGACCCACCAGCCCCTCCTCCACCCATCCACACTCCGTGCTGCCCCCGCCCATGACCCTCACCTTCTCTGCGTTCTCTCTTTTCTAGTCCGTGTGCTCCTCTCTCCTCTTCACACACTTCTCGACACCCTCACCCTCTCTCCTCCTACCCTGCATTGTCCTTGCTTCTTTCTTCCTATTCTTCTCTCCTCCTCCACTCAGCTTTTGCCCCTTTCTTCCCCAAAGCCACTGGCTTCTGCTTTCTTCCTGCCCACCTTCTCAAGGGCTCCCCCTTCTCCCTGCCCACTTTCTCTTCCCATCCTAGCTTCCCTTAGCTCTCCATCCATTCTACCCTTCTCCTCTCGCCAACACCCTTCCCTCGCCAACTGGAATTTGGCTCTCAGTAAATGTGCCTCCTTCGCTGGTTCACAGACGTGGGGCTCTGCATCTGCTGCAGGAGTTGATGGGTTCGAGGTTGCCTGCCAGCCTGCAGGGTGCAGTCCTGAAGGAGCTTCCCCCAGTCCTCGCCCTCCCCCAGCGCCTCTCACTCCTGGCTCTCTGGGCATCTTGGGGTCTCTTCCTTGCACCAGGGCATCTCTGTAGGGCTCTCTCCCCATGCTGTGCCATGTCTGTATATCCAGGACCATGCTGGATCCTTCTTTTTCTCTTCTACCTCCCTAGGGGCCGGCAGATGCCCACCTTTCTTCCTCCACACGCCCTAATTTGTGTGTCAACATGTCATTTTCTGAAGTTACAGCTTCAGGAGGGAATATATATGTATGGCAGAGAGCAAGAGAGAGATGGAGAAACTAGGACAAGGTAAAGATTAAAGGGCAGATGGATGCATAATGCAACACAGCAAGGGAGGGAGAAGTAGCAAGAAACAGAGACTGAACTGGAGAGAGAAAGATGCTTGAGGAGAAGGGAAGACACTGCCCAGGTCTTTGAGAGACAGTGAGAGAAGGTGAGAAACAAGAGACCCAGAGCCAGAAGGTGTGATGTGTGTGCATGTGTGTGTTTGGGGGGAGGTGATCTTCCTCTTCCAGGAAACTTTCTAGGTTAACTCCCTACCCTAGCGCTGACCTCCGTCAGTCAGATTTCTCTGTTTGGGGAGCTCTGCCTGCCCTGGGGACAGGTCTGTCCTCTGTCCTCCTCTTGCACCCCTCCAGGCAGGTGTCCCCAAGTGAGCAGGGGCTGCCTGGACTCCCAGAGGGGCAGGGAGTAGGGAAGATTGCAGAGGAGACTGGCTGGTTCACTACCCCGCATGCAGGAGGTGCGTTGTACTCAGGGTACCCACGGGCAGAGACTGGGTCTAGGATCCCGGGGACCTGGCCTCAGCCTGGCAAACACAGCTGCTCAGCACTGTTTAATGAGCTGCAGAAATGCAGGGCACCCCT